TGATCTTATAATTTCCTATCAGTTCAATTGTGATCTCTATGCAGATGATTCCCAAATCTATACAGTTATCTCTTCCACATTGGAGGGAGGGGGTGGTGGTGTTAGAGCATGGCCCCCTGAGATCTGGAAAATCCACATAAAATCCCTTTGTACTAGAGAAGAAGTCTGAATTATTATGGCATTAAAAGATAAAATATGTTGATATTTTATAACAATATCATACACATCTTTTATGCATTTCTGAGTTTCTAAGCTTTTTCTGTGTTGTCTGCGCCTTCCCCAAAACTCCTCCAAAATGTCCTTTTAATTTCTTATGCCGACCCACAATATATTGAAACTGTAGTTAGGAAAGTTGCTGTGTGGAGGGGATAACCGTATAGATTTAGAACCCTAATCTCTCTCCTAAATTCCAGTCTGACTTACCAGTTGCATGTTAGACATCTCTTTTGTATATCCCATAACTTAATATGTCCAATGGCAAACTCATATTTCCCACCAAAACCATTCATCCTCTAAACCTTCCCCTGAATTTAATTACTCAGGTTACACCTTTGGAATTTTATTTAATTCTTCCCTTGATCTTGCCCTCCACCCTCTTGTCATTTCTACCTTCACTATATCTCGTCCATTTAACTCCTCCTCTCCATTCATACAACCTCCATCTCAGATCAGGCTATCACCACTTCTTTCCTGGGCTACTGCAGTAGACTCCCGATTGATGTCCCTGCTTCCAGTCCTTCCTGTTTCCAATCCATTTTCAACACATACATGACCACTTTACCGCAGTTCAAATCTCCCATGGTTCCCTGTTTTCTTTCTAATATAACATGAAATCCTCTACTTTAAGTGCTCCAGTTTGATTCTATGACCTGTTGGTTTTCCATGGGTACCATGCTTAATTTCACATCAGTCCCCTTCATATATTCTCCATTTCAGTCAGACTGACTTGATAGCTTCCTTCAGTGCTCAGCTTATACATCACCTAGGGGACCATCTCCAGTCGTCCTGATCCATATCTTGCTGCTAGACCCAGATGGGTCAGGAGGAGAAAGTGAGGCTGGTGAATTTGCACGGCACTTCCTCACTTAAATCCAATTGGTTTGCAAGAAGTGGCGTCACCTTCCTGATGTCTCGTGGTCTTCTTCAAGAAGGAAGGACAAACAGCAATATACACCACAGAATCCTGTGCATAGTAGGGACTTAACTACCTTAATCAAATACTTCTGAATCCCCAAACCCTAATTTTAGTACCCTCTCCTTAAAATTACTTTCAAAAGACAGTATATTTGCTCACATGCCTGTCTATTGTATGTACTCAGTAGAATGTAAGCTACTGAGGTCAAGGACTGCTTTTGTTGTTTTGGTTTTACCTTAGTACCTTCCACCATGTAGCACAGAACCTGACATACATAATAAATATTTGTTACTGAATTTAATTGACAATTCAGAACAAATTTCTCTCTCTCATTGGTGAAGTAGCTTAAATAAATTGTGTGCCTGATAGGTGGTTTGTTTTGATTTGTTTTTTTTCACATAAACAGGCAGGGCCTCCAAGTTACCAGAATTGTTGGAATTACCAGAATTATCAAAAGAATTACCAGAAAAGTGATTTTTTTTTTAAGACTTGGCATCTCTATCTCACCCAGGCTTGGAAGTTCAGTGGCCAGTCCCAATATTGAAGGGTACTGAAGCTTTAACCTGCTGCTTTTCTAACCTGAGCTCCTTTGCCTTGCCCCTTCCCAGGCAGCCTGGTATCCCTCTGCTCCCCAGGGTTCACTAGACTGGTGCCAGACTTAGTATAGACACCCAACTGTGGCTCAGAACTCAGAAATTCAGCAACCCCCCATCCTCAGCCTCTACTGGTATGTGCTGCTGTGCTTGGCACCTGTGTGCTATACCTGGCACAGCAGTGGCTTCTCAAAGAATGTTGGCATCTTTAAATAAAATTCTGCTGCATGTAGTCTTACATGTCTGAATTACTCAGAAATCATCTTGGTGTTACAGGTTGGGAAAATCTTAACGTATTGATTGCACAGGCCATATCCTATTTGTCATTTTTTCTTCTCCAGGACTTGGGCAGAATCCTGTGCATAGTAGGTACTTAACTACCTTAGTCAAATACATTTGCTTACTTTGTAAATATGTACTGAACAAAGGGATGAATGAATGGAATTCGTCTGCCTTCTGTCTTCTCTAGCTTTTCTATCCTTCTGGTATTACTTTCAAAATAAAGCAGCATGCTGAATGGTCTGATAAGGGAATGGCCTCTCTATATTCTGAGGAAATCTAAGATGACACTTCAGTTAAAAAGACCTTAGGGGCAGCAATGTTTAAAGAAACACATGCAACCCAAATGATAAACAGCGTTGTAAATCACGGGAAGCAATGTTGGTAGTAGAGAAATTGCTATTTACCATTTTCTGATAACCAGTGGTTTTACAAACTACTTCTTTATCTTCTAAGGTAGTTAAGAGTCAGCAAGAATTCACTAAGCTCCTACTATATGCCAGGCACTGTGCTAAGTTCAAGGATACAAAGAAAGGCCAAAACCAGTCCCTTGCTCTCAAGGATTTCAAATGAGGGAGGCATCATGCAAATAACTATAGACAAACAAGATATAGGCAGGATAAATTGAGGATAATCTCCATGGGAAGGCACTTAGATTAAGAAAGTACTGGTAAAAACTTCTTGCAGAAGGGTGGGACTTTGAGACAATGTAAAGCAATTTTATGCCTTTTAAATTTCTTTTTTCTTTGAACCTCAAATGCTTGGAGAGCTGGAGTCAGGTAGAAGAGAAACATGTTTACTGATTCCCAGCCCTTAGCTATAAGAGCCACAGTAGGTCCATCTGTTGTTAGTGTAAACCTTGGCCCCCGTCCTTGGCTTGCAGGCCTGTTTATGAAGAGAAGGCAGTAAAAGCCACAGCATAGTATATCAGATGTATTTTTATCTGCACTGCAGTGTACTGATAATGGAAACAATGCTGCATTGAGAGTCAGATCACCTGGCTCCAGCACTTATTAGTTGTGTGATATTGGGCAAGTGACTTTGCCCACACTTTCCTCATCATCTGTAGGAATCCTTTCCAAACCCCTCTTAATTGTGGTACCTTCTCTTTCTTGTTTACTTCCTGTTTATCCTCCCTATGGCTTGTCTGTGCATATTTGTTTGCATGTTGTCTTCTCCCTTAGACTGTGACCTCCATGAGGGCAGCACTGTCTTTTGCCTTTCTTTGTATCCTTAGTACTTGTGTGGTGCCTGACACGTGATGGATGTTTAATAAATATTTATTGACTAGCTAACTATAAAACAAGAATATACCTTACAATGTCTTTCTAACCCTCCAAAACACTACAAAGACTGCCATTATTTTCTTGTTTTCATTTCATACAGTTCTTAAAAACATGCTCATCGTTTAAAAAATTTATATTAAGACATGTTTTGTTTCCTGGCGTGTTTTACATATTTTTAACATTTGAAGATCTTTCTGTATATTAAGTACCCCGTTAAGTCTGAGCGCATACCTACACGGCCTTGCAAGGACTTATTGTAGGAGGGTTAAAATAGAAGAGTCCTTTGAGGTTAGCTAAAACACATAAGGAAAACTGGGACCATGTCAAGGTCAATCACATAGTAAGTAGCAGACCTGACACTCAAACTCAGGTCTTCTGATTCCCAGTCCAGCATTCTATGTATACTCTATACTGTGTTGCCCTATTAAGTCACCATCTGGCCACTGCTTCTGGTTTTAAAAAGTAGAGGAAATGTTGTACTAAATCTGCTTATCCTTTAGATGTCTTGTTCCTCATATACACTCCTAATTTGCCAGTCTTTTATTCCATCCAGCATATGTATATGTATATTCCATCCAACATATATATGTGTGTGTGTGTGTGTGTGTGTGTGTGTACACACATATTTAGATTCATACATTTGTATACAGGTCTATACACATATACAAAGAGATTGGTGACATTCTATCACTCATATTATTTCTTGGGCAGAACTAATGTTCATGGTATTTCAGGTTTGATATAGCAGTGCTTTTGGCTAAGTGCTATCTGAAGTTGACCTAAACTATTCCTTGATTCAAAAGACTTCTTTCCCAATTTAAGTCTTAGTATTTATGAAGATGGTCTTGGTATAATTTTTTTTTTCCTGTCTGGACCTGTGATTTTATTAGGCTGGGAAGTTCTCAGTGAGGAAACTTCCTTTACCAGTACAGGTCAACTATTGTCCTGTACCTTATACTTTGGGATGTCTGTGATATACTCAAGGATTAAGTGACTTGCCCAAGATTACTTATGGATTACAGTTGGGACTTGAACCACAGTCTTCCTGACTCAGATACCCTCAATTCACTCTAGTTCATTTCATCTCATTACTTATTTTAAAACAGGGTGAATTTTCAACTGTTAATAGCAGCTAGAGTTTCTTTGAAATCTTTCTTTTTTCTCCTTTTGCTCCATCTGTCTTCTGAAACTGTGGTTGTGTGCCCATCTTTTAAATCTTATGGAGAAGATAGAATGTAGTACTTTAATGCATGAAATTGACAAGACACACTGTGTCCCAAAAGTCTTGGTTATGTTAATAATGATATTATTAAATAATATAAAACTGCCATTAAAGGTTGAAACAGCACTAAGACTTATGGGACAGCTCATAAAAGAGGCTGGGGACTAAAGCCATGAAACAACAACAATAAAAAATCAGTAATTGACATAAAAGGAAAAACAGGTTTAAAGAAAGTCCCCATGAGCATAGAATGTTGTGTTTAAAGAAGGAGACAGAGACTACACACAAACACAAAACTGAGGTTAGTGAAAGGCAAAAGCTAGTTTTAATGAGAGATGGGTGTACTTACCTAGGGTAATAAGGAATGCAGAGTTCAGAAAGACTTCTTGTGGCTTCTTTAGGATTTTTGTGTGCAAATAATAATGCTGGTAAGTGACTGAGTGCAAATAAAATGGACTTGATGCTCATTTTTTATTCTATTTTAGCACATCAGGTCCACCTATCTGGCCGGGAAGCACCTTTTTCAAGAGAAACGGAGCCCTTCTACAAGGTAGGTCCCCAGCTATCATTTGTTTTTCCCACCACTGTTCCTTAATTGTAGCAAAGATGAGTTTTTCTCACAGTTCACAATGGATGTCCTCATTCTGGAAAATGAGGAGTTCTGTGGGTTGAATCATTTTATTTCCTTCTATTTGTTTTCTCCTCCAGTCTCTTGGAAATGACGAATTACTAGTTTGAGATGGTAGAAATATATGTCTCTGTTTTCTCATTTCTTGGGCTGTTGCCTTGCTCCCTATAAGTTCCAGCTGTGTTTGGATTTCTTGGTGAAATTAGGATTGTGTGGTTCTCATGGTATGATAGCAGCAGAAACAAGATCAATAAAGTCAACTCCTTTATGAAGGTCCCCCCTTTTCCTTATTTTGTACGTCTGTGATATTTAGCAAGCTGTGATGGTGTTCGGAGACTTAATGGTATATCCTAACAGTGTTTGGTTTATCCTCAAAGTTGGCAAAGTTAGTTTTCCAAAGGTGAATTATTTGCTTTGTTTGTTCTCCCACACCCCACACCCCACCCCTGGAATATGGAACCTGACTCTTCAGCTGTCTTCCCCACAAAGCCTTGCTCACATCCTCAGGGAACATGAACTTCCGTTACCATCTGCTTAAAGGAAACTAGGTTGTGTGGGCAAACATGCACCTAAAGCCCAAATTGAAAAAGTTTGGGGGAACTACCCAGTGTTTAGGGTCATCGGCACCATTTGTGTGGATGGTTGGGAGGTGGTGCTGTACCAAGAATCAACTTAGTCTTCTCTCTAACGTGTCTTGGGACTCAGAATTGTGGTGTCTGTCAAGAATGGTTGAGTTTTCTTCTATCAAAATTTTTGAGTGATTGGTAGCTCTTCTGGGCAGGAGGTAAAGAGTTTGAGTTAGTTGTCATACTTTTAAGAAGCGTTTTCCTAAAATGCACAGGCCTAACAACAGCCTTCTGCATAGGGAGTGTAATAAAGACTTCTTGAAATACATTTTACCTTAAAATTGTAGAAGCAGCTCACACAGTGTGTGCAATTAAATGACCTTGTTGTTGTGCTGTAGGCTGGATAATTTGGTGTCTGCATTATCAGGAGGCTATGAAATCAGTGAACTTTGGAGTTCCTTTGCTTTTCTTCTTTATACCAGCTGGCTTTCGGCAGGTAGGTTCCATTAACACTAATCTTAATTACCATATTATGTCTCCAAAATGTTGGCAGGAGAATGAAAGACTCTGTTAATAGCTTGTAGGTAGAGCTCTATCTGTAATCAGTGAGCACATTTTTTTTGAGTCCATTTTTAATGTAGCCAATCTAGATAGAAAGCAATAAGAAATTAAGCCTTAGTATTTCTTATTAATTTCAAGGGATTGTTAAAATTTTTGCTCCAATATTTGAACCTTCTGATGAAAGGAATTTTCACAGAATTTGTAGAGTGGTCAGTCCTCAGATCATTTTATCTTGTACCAAGAAGATGGATGGGTTCTTATTAAGTTCTAATTCATTCATTAAGAGGATGGTGTAGCAGAATAGATAGGGTTCTCTGTTTGGAACTTCTGAGTTCAAATAATACCACGGGCAGCTACCACGTGACCATGGGCAAATCACTTAACCTCTCAATACCCCAGACAGATATACAGTGGTATCTACAGTTCCACACATTGTGAAATCGTAGATCCAGACCCTTAACATTTCTCCTTTGGATGTAATTGTTCAAAACATCCTCAAATTTTCTTTTGATTGTCATCCAGGCTGTTGACCTTCCCTTGAATGATCTGTTCTGTGAAATCCTGTCATCATGATAATACAGTTTTGTCTACTCCCTCCCACTCCTTTTTTTTTGTCCCTTTCCACCCTCTTAGCCACATCCTAAGAACCAAACCTCTTTAGCCACTTGTTGAATTCAAAGCCATTAAATAAAAGCAGTGTGGTATAAAATCCTTAGTTTGGTAGCCAAAGACCTCATTTCAAATAATGTCTATGCCACTCCCTAATCTTGTGACCTTGGGCTTCTCCCCACTGAATATCAGTTTCCTTATCTGTAAAATGAGGGAGATGGGGTACATGGTTATAAGATCAGAGAAGCAGAGACCTCAGAGATCATTTTGTCCAACACCCTAATTTACCCGACAAGGAAGCAGAAACCCAGGTAGGTTAAGTGATCTGTCTGGGGTCATGCAAGGAGTAAGCATCAGAGGCCCTGGATATGAACCAAGTTCTCTGACTCCAGGCCACTTTTCTTTCAGCCCTAAATCCTATAGACATCATCTATTCTTTTTTGTACGTTTGAAAATTGGACAATTTGGGGTAAAAAGGATGGGATTGGTAGGTTAAAGCAAGGGAATGCTTGTTAACTTTAATGTTTTATCGTAGGTTTCCTTTACATTCTTTAAAAAAATGTTTTCTAGCAGTGGATAGTTTTAATTGAATAATCTACTTGTGTAGTTCTTTAATAATTTTATTGTGACTAGATATTTTAGGGCTGTGTGTAACACAGCCCAACTAAGGTTTTTAAAATGTTTTTTCTTTAGAAAATTCAAAAGCACTTTTGTGCTATTAAATGTTAATACTATTATTTATAATTTATATAATGCTCATTTTACATAATGCTTTAAATTTTATAAGGTACTCCTTTCACAGTTGCCTTATGATGATAATATCACTGCCTATATATAACAGATGAAGACTTGGAGCTATGGAAAGGTAGAAGAATGTTCGAATTATGCCAGTAATAAATTAAGGAAATGGAAAAATCTAGAATCTCTGTGTCTTTCTCTGTCCTCTTCACACCCAAGAAGTTCTCTGACATATTTGGTATGATGTATGTAGTATTTTTTTTTTAATCAAGTCAACCCAAGTAGAATTCAAGTGGTATTGGAGTTGAATAAGAGATTGAATCAAAGGGTAGTAGTTAAAAATCATAAAGATCTGTGATGGTAGCAAAAGTATGACTAGAGTGCAGATGTTTTCCGTCTGTCCTAGGAAGACAAGAGGAGGGAAGGAGGTTTTGATCTGCAATCTGAGGGATTTAAGTTAGACATAAGGAAGAATTTTCTGACAGTGATGTGATTGCATTACATATCTGGAAGTGTTTCCGGGGGGAGATTAAGGAATCTTCCTGTTGAGGGAATGAATGTTTCAAAACAAGATAGATTCACATTTATTCATGAATTAATGAATGAAAAAGCTCTAATTAAAGGCTTGCTTATTGTACAAAGCGCTGTGCAAAGTTCTGTGGACACAAATAGAAAAACAAGGCACTGGTAACTCTTGAGGAAGTCACATTCCAATAGAGGAAGCCAACTTATGGAAGAGGGTTCAGGTCCAGGGCAGATGGAAAGGCCCTGTCATACTTAGGGTGCTGTAGAAGGGCAAATGGTAAAAAACCCAATGGTTCAGATGGCAAGCTTGGATGGAGTATAGAAAGAACAAAAGGCCACACAGTTCAGTCATAATTTCTTTTGTGTCATGAGTAATAAAACTATATCTAATTTTTAATGTTAAGCCAGTTGGCAGTGCCCAGGGTCTTTAGTGGTGAGAACTTTCTTTTCTGGTTCTACTTCAAGTAGCTGCCTAGAAGATGGGGGTGGGGTGCAGTTCAACTATGTCTCCACTGGGGCTGCTCTCTGAATAAGGGGACAGATGGTTTGGAGGCAGGGCCAGTGGTCTAGGGGGCTGCTGCTGCTTGGGGCTCTTGTCCACCAATCCTGGGTGACAGCCTCCATTAGAGCCTACTAGGGGAGAGAGGCTAGTAATGGTCTCTTCCTCCATGTTCATGCTACTTCCTATCTTTGCTCAGGGTTCATTGAATGAGCATTTACTAAATGCATGTTGTATACCTTGCTAGGTGCCTGGGGGTAAAAAGATTGGATTCTTGGTGTCTGTATGGATTCAACCCCACCACGTTTACTTTGCATATTTGTTACATTTTTTTTTCCCAGTGAGGTAGATGTGAAGGGATAGGGGTAGGAGGAGAGACAGACAGACAGAAAGGGAGGGAAGGTAGGAAGGAAGGAAGGAAGGAAGGAAGGAAGGAAGGAAGGAAGGAAGGAAGGAAGGAAGGAGGGAGGGAGGGAGGGAGGGAGGGAGGGAGGGAAGGAAGGAAGGAAGGAAGGAAGGAAGGAAGGAAGGAAGGAAGGAAGGAAGGAAGGAAGGAAGGAAGGAGGAAGAGAGAGAGAGTCCATTGAGCATTTTCATTTCATGAAGGTGATAAATCAACTGCCAGTGAAAATTGATGCTCAGGACAGTGTCCCTAATGTACCACGAGATGCTGAGTCATCAAAGAAAGATTAAGTTATGTCCCACATGTGGTACTTAGCAAAGCAAGAAATTGTAATAATATGGTTTAGGTATTAACTCTCAGTGAACCAGAGTACCACATGCCCTGAGTATTTTGGTCTATCTGGGTTTTATTGTACATCCAAAGAGAGCATAGTACAGGATATTCCTAACAAATTAAAGTACACAGTAATGTTTTATAAATTCTTGGTTTTTTTGTCCAATTTTTATTTTGGTAAATGCAGCATTAAACTGAAATCTAACATATATATCTGGTTCCCTGATGCAAAAGTGATTACACACCTTTTATTAACTATCTGTGTGCAGAGTGAAGTGATGAGAATTGGGAAAGCAACTTATACAATAAGAGCAGCTTTATATAATATAAACAACTTTAGAAGACATAACAGTGATCAGTGCAGTGACCGACTACAGTTCCAGAGGATGATAAGAAATCATGTTAGCCAACATCTTGAGAGAGGTAATAGACCCATGCTGCAAAATAAGACATGTGTTTTTGGGAACGGCTAATGAGTGGTTTTGTTTTGCTTGACCATGCATATTTGTTACAAATATTTCTTCCAGTGGGACGGGTGTGAGGGGAAAGGGATGGGGTTGGGGAAGACAGAGACAGAGTCTCCTGAGCATCTTTTTTTAAAAAAAATTCACAGAAGAGAACAGAAGGAAGGCCAGAAAAAAATCACAGACAAGTAGAATAGCTTTAAAAGTCACATATTAGACTTACT